AACATAGTAGACACATATATGAACAACTTTCATTCTTTGTATTTGTTCTAAAAATCACTCTAAGATGCCGAAATAAATCACACCAAGTTCTGGTTTTTCCACCCCTAAAATCCGAAAATCTTCTCTTAAAGCACATTTCTCAACACTCATGCTTAACCATCCATCATCAAACATCAAGTGTTTAAAATCATCACAAATGCCATAATCACATTTCACATGAATTAAATAACTCATAAAATAAACATTGAAAGCATAAACAAAGCAAGAAAAAAATGAAACCTACTTACATTGGATTAACTTTCCTAAAATCTCTTTTGCTTCCTTTTAGTTTCCCCTTCTTTTTCCTTCCCTTTTTTCCTCTTTCTCCCCTCTCTTTGACTCTTTCTTTTTTGGTTTTAAGGCAGCTACGGGATGCACCAAAATGCATCCTTATCCCATTTTTTCTTACTTAAATATCTCACCTAATCTCATCCATTCAATATTCATTACAAGTGTCAAAAGCTTGTGGTGAAATGCAAGGTAAATGTGGCTGAAATTAATGAAATGATGGGTGTAAATTTCAAGGAAGAAGAGGTGATGGTCAATGAAAATTTGTAGAAAGTAGGGGCCAAAATGTGATTAAATGAGGGTAATTAAATTAACTACATTTTCAGAATTCCTCCCGAAATTTTGGCAATTAGTACTTTCTCTCTTTTTTTTTTTTAATTTATACTTATTTCATATAAAAGAAATTTTCTAACTAATTTACCCAACGTTTTTATATATATATATATATATATATATATATATATATATATATATATATATATATATATATATTGACGTACACCCATTACTCTTAACAAATACGTATATACCACATATTCCAGTACATATGTTGACTCGGTTACGTGATTTTCACGTACGTAACCGATATACTATATATGTATATACGTATGAATATAAATATCTCGATACGTACATTTATACGATTACGAATTTTACGAGGGTTATAAGATATTTGATGTTTTGTTGGATCTAGTGAATTCCCTTTAGACTTGGATGTTTCTAATGCTTTAATTTAAATATTAGAAGGCATGGGTAAAATATATGAAGTTAACAATAGGTTAACATTTTTTTTTTTTTATGATGGAAAAATGAAATAGACCAATATGAATAAAAAAGGCAAAGACTTTGTAGAGGCCAATTGACTATCTTATTTTTTATGAAATTGTTTTTACATGATTTGTAATTTTTGTATATTTAATTCTATTATGTTTTTCACTCATATTTTATTGGTTGTAATGTCAATCTAGATTGGTCTAGATGTAATAAGTTTAAGACCCGAAATCAATTTTATTTCAATAACGGATTCATTTTCTTTTATTTTTCAATGCCACTAATTTTGTCTCTTATAGATTTAGTTTTGAACTTGGTACGAGGCTTTAGGTCTAATTTTATTAATTTAGAAGTGGTATAACGGTGGATATTGGATTAAGGCCTATGTCTATTTTTTTTAAGATTATTTTATTTTGGATTCGTAATTTTATTGTCCGGTTTAATAGGTGAATTTGGACCTATGGTCCATGTTCATTTTGTTTGATTTTTATATATCTTTGTATGAGTTTGGATGTTTAATTTGCAATGGACTTTAAGTCCTAACTTTTATCTTCCCAAGTAGTTTCCAACGACCCAATAACCAACTTAGGTGAGAGACTAAATCTTGTTTCTGTCTTCTAATTACCTCTCCTAAGACTGGTTAGAAAAATCCAACAGTCAACTCATAAATCTGCATATAAAAAGAAGACTATTAATTGGATTTTGCACAAAGAAAATCCTAAAGCTAAAACTGAATGTTAACGTCATTAAGAGAGCAAATTTGGGTGACTATATATATATATATATATATATATATATATATATATATATATATATAACTATGTAATCAACCTATTTAACCCAAATCTTAGACCAATTTGTTAGGGTTTTTTTTCTCTTTTTTTATTTTTTTATACTAAAAAAAAAAAAAAAACTAAGTGGCTGCTCTACTATTCAAACACATCTATTTTTACGATTACCGAGCAATAACTGTGTGATACAGGTGGATCATTCTCAGAGCTATCCTAAACATTCAACAAAGTATGCGCTTTGCTTCTTCTTTTTCATGTTGGTCAAGATTTGAAAAGAAAACAACCTCTAATAAGTGAGGAAAATTATCTAATAAAAAATTTAAGTTTGGCAACAGTATGATCTCATCATATATAATTCTTAAAAGCAATATATATATATGGATCAGTCTTAGAGTTACTGGAGTCTTGAACGCTATTACTTTTGATCAAATACTTGGAGATTTGTTTTGATTTGGACAAATCGATATGGAGAAACAATTAGTTTATGAATGCTCATTAACTCTTCCTAAGTTTTCATTTATTTAATTGAGAGATCGAAAACTTGTCTCAAGCACTCAGTTGACAATGATAAAATTAAAATTTTCTTTTTTACTAAGAATAATTTTCTTATTCATGACCAGAGCAGTGCAGGGCTCGACTAGATAGAACGTGAGGTTCTTATTTGAACCTATAACTAAGTATGAAAATCTCAAAGGCCTAGCCAACATGAAACATTTCTAAGTAGATATGACATTGGTATATATAAAAAAAGGACCAATCAAGAGCGGAATGTCCAATTGTGGGAATTGGAAACCAAAGGATTACGTATTTGATGACGTTAATCCAATACTCACTCCATCTCTTTTTTATTTTTTTTCCATAATTGAATATCCAGTTATCTCTCGAAATATCGTTACTTACTTTGTCTTATGTATAATATTTATCTTTACATTCCAAAAATGGAGAAATGCATATATTTTAAAGTAAGAATTATAATTAATCAAGTAATTAAGGATAAGATTTTTTATTAACCACATAAGGATACAGATTCTTTTTCATCTACTTTGTTTTCGAAATCATAGATAAATATTATAACATCTCAGAATAAAAATATGAACAAATAAAAAACGAAAGGGACATGATTCGTGGTCTTTGCATATTTAATTCTATTATGTTTTTCACTTATATTTTATTAGTTGTGTTGCCAATCTAGGTAGAGATGGCAACGGGGCAAGGCAAGGTGGGGATCCCCATCCCCATCCCCATCCTTACCCTACCTATAAAAGAAATTTCCCATCCCCACCCCGTGCTCTGAACGGGATAGAGTTTTTCATCCCATCTCTATCCCAAACAGGGACGGGGATCCCTACGGGACAAATGGAGTGTAAACGGAGTAAATTTTTTTCATCTCTTTTTATTCCATTCTACTATCAAATTTCAAACTATGGTAAAAAAAAAATGATAGTTTATACAGAAAATAAATCCTAAAAGTCACTAATCATAGATTTTATATAGGGTATAATTATAATTTTAATGAAAAAAAAAGGCAAAAACGGGACAAATGAGGCGAGGCAAGCAAATCCCGTCCCCGCTCGCAGGGCACCCCATCCCGTTTTCCGGTCAATGTGGGGAATCCCTATGTTGATAGGGGAAAATCGAGACAGGGTCGGGCGGGGCTCTATCGGTATGGGACAAACTGCCATTTCTAAATCTAGATGGAATAAGTTTAGGACTTAAAACTAATTTTATTACAAAAAAATTATGACAACGAGCATGATCTCATCATATAAGATTCTTAAAAGCAATACATATATGGATCAGTCTTTTATTAGAGTCTTGAACGTTGTTATTTTGATCAAATACTTAGAGATTCGTTTTGATATGGACAAATCGATATGAAGAGGTAATTAGTATTTGAATGCTTACTATCTCTTTCCTATGTTTTCACTCATTCTTGAGCACTCAGTTGAGAATGATGAGATTGAATTTTTTTCTTTTACTAAGAATAATTTTTTTTTATATATGATCGGATCAAATATAACCTGAGGTTGCCATTAGAATGTATAACTAAGCACGAAAATCTCAAAGGCCTCGTCAACCTGTAACGAAGTCAGGATCCCATTCTTATCTCATTACGTAATTGTAAACCAAAGGATATCCTGTTACTTACTTTGTTATATGTATAATATTTATCTTTATATTCCAAAAATAGAGAAATGCATATATTTTAAAGTAAGAATTATAATTAATCAAGTAATTAAGGATAAGATGTTTTATTAACCACATAAGGATACAGATTCTTTTTCATATACTTCGTTTCAGAAATCATAGATATTTAGAACATCGCAGAGTAAAAATATGAACAAATAAAATGGAAGGGAAATAACAAATTATTTAATAATAATTGATAATGCAGAGTGAGGTATGGTTGGTGGGGTGACGGGGCCGGAAAGCGATTGAATTAAATCCCGGAAAAGCATAGGGGTATGCTAGTAAATTCAACTCTCCCGGTTAATTTAGTACAGATAAATAAAAATAAACATTCGATGATCTTATCTATTTGACTGCGCGGCAAAGAGTCGGTAGGTTAAAATTTTAAAATAAAACTAAATAGAAAGTTTATAATACACCGGGAATAACTAGTGATATATACGATAATTACTTCATGGGTTCATTTTGAGAAGAGAGATAGACATATAAAAAAGAAAGAGAAACGGGAGAGAGAAAATAAAAAAATTTGAATGGATGCGGAAATCTTCTTATCACTTTTGACGGGTATAGATATAATTTTTATTTTTTTTATGTATCTATCTCTCTCCTCAAAGTGGACTTATGGAATAATTACTATATATGACACAAGTTACTCATGATGTATTATAAAATTTCCCAAAACGAAAACGTTTCGAGAAACTAAAGAGATAAAATAAATAATTAAAAAAAAACAAAGGAAAGAAAGCAGTAAAATCAAAGATATTTTATTTATGTGAAAAATCAACATCGCCAAAATGTGAAACATATTGAGGAATTGCCGGAAAAGCTTAGGGGTTTTCTTTTTTTAATTATTCCAAAAAAAAAAAAAATGCAGCAGTAGACTGACTTGGTGGACTTCATGCTCGAAAATTACTAAAAAAAATGAAACTCAAACCAACGTTCGCTTCCTCTTCTTTCCATCCCACTGAGATGCATTTGATTTGGTGGATCCTTTACTTCTTTGTTCTTCCACATCTTCTTCATTTAATCAATGCCCAATTTTATAATGTTGATGATAATCCATCTGCCAGCATCTCAACTTCATGGATAATTAACACCCCCGATGATTCTTCTTTCTTTTCAGACGGGTCATATACAGAACCCATCCTCACTGTCACGGGAAGCTCTGGCTTACAGTTCGGATGTGGTTTCTTCTGTAACGGAACCTGTGTCTCTTTCCTCTTCGCCATTTTTTTTCTTAGCAAAGTGGATCCTAGTGTCCCTCAAGTAGTTTGGTCTGCCAACAGAAACTATCCAGTCCTAGAAAAATCAACGTTGCAGCTCACATCTGTTGGAGATTTGGTCTTGAAAGATGTTGATGGAAGCATTGTTTGGTCGACTAATACTAGTGGCAAATCTGTTGCTGGTCTAAACTTGACTGATACGGGCAACCTATTGCTTTTTGATAATCAAAATGCAACTGTTTGGCAATCCTTTGATCACCCAACTGATTGCTTGCTTCTTGGCCAAAAGTTGATGGAGGGGCAGAAACTCACTCCCAGTGTTTCTCCTACAAATTGGACAGAAACAGGGTTCTTTTCACTTTCTGTCACTGCAAAAGGATTGTTTGCTTCCGTAGAGTCCAATCCTCCACAAGTGTATTATCAACTTGGAGGACACGGTACCAAAATGAATAAAGAACCAACCTATGTTAGATTTCTGAATGGAAGCTTAGCTTTGTTCTTGAATTCTTCTAAACCAGATGATCAGATTTATGGTATTCCCAAGGCTTCATCAGCACAATACATGAGGTTTGGCTCTGATGGGCATTTGAGGGCTTATGCGTGGAACTGGGCAGAAGGGTGGACAGAGGTTGGCGATGTATTGACTGGGTCTTATGGTGATTGTTCTTACCCGACAGTATGTGGGAGTTATGGCATCTGCTCGAATGGGCAATGTAGTTGTCCTCCACAAGATATCAACGGAAAAAAGTATTTCGAGCAAGTAAATTATAGGCAGCCCAATCTGGGGTGTCGTGAGATTACTCCCTTGTCTTGTGAAGCGTCCCAAAATCACACTTTTCTAGAGCTCAAAGACACAATCTACTTCCCTTTCTTCATGAGCTTTGCCAATTTCACTTGGAACGGTTGCAATGCCAGTCTCACTCCCAAGAGTTGCAAGACAAATGTCACTTTAGAGAGTTGCAAGGTGCTCTGTTTGAAAAATTGTTCATGCAAAGCTGTTTATTTCCAGTACGACTCACATCCTGCTACTGGTAATTGTTACATGCCATCCAAGATATTTTCATTGATGAACAATGACGAGGGATATCTTTACAACTCTACTGTTTATGTTAAGGTGCAAAACATCTCAAATATACACAATTTCCCAACTACAGTTCCTAGAAAAAAGAAGACTAGTCAAGTGCCAATGATATTAGGGTCTAGCATTGGATCTTTCGTTGGTCTGTTTATTTTGATTGGAATCTTAATGTTGCTAGTTTGGAAGAAAGGAAAAGCAGATGAAGTTGAAGAAGATTATTTAGATCAAGTGCCAGGAATGCTCACTCGATTCTTATATGAAAATTTAAAAGCCATGACTGGAAATTTTTGTAAGGTGCTTGGTGAGGGAGGATTTGGCTCGGTTTTTGAAGGGACTCTAGCTGATGGCACCAAAATTGCAGTTAAGCAACTCAATGGTAAAGGCCAAGTCAATAAATCGTTCCTCACGGAGGTTGAGGCAATTGGCAGCATTCATCATGTGAACTTGGTAAGGCTTCTTGGTTTTTGCGCAGAAAAATCCCATAGGCTCCTTGTTTATGAATACATGTCCAAAGGATCTTTGGATAAATGGATATTCCATAAAACCGGTGAGTTTGTCCTCGATTGGGAGCAGAGAAAGAAAATCATCCTTGAGATAGCCAAGGGACTTGCCTATCTTCATGAAGAATGCTGGCAAAAGATAATCCATCTGGATATCAAACCCCAAAACATCTTGTTAGACGATCAGTTTAACGCAAAAATCTCCGATTTTGGGCTGTCTAAATTGATTGACAGAGATCAGAGCAAAGTTGTGACAACAATGAGAGGCACTCCAGGCTATCTAGCTCCAGAATGGCTGAATTCAGCGATCACTGAAAAAGTGGACACCTATAGCTTCGGAGTTGTTACCTTGGAAATAGTTTGCGAACGGAGAAATTTCGATCGCTCTCAGCCTGAGGAACAGATGCATTTACTAAGTCATTTCGAGAAAATGGCAGAGGAGAATCGATTGTTGGATTTGGTTGATAATTCGCAAAACCATGAGGCAGAAAAATTGAAAACTCTGAAGGTTGCTGCATGGTGTTTGCAAAGGGATCATGCAAAGAGGCCTCGTATGTCAGTGGTCGTTAATGTCCTGGAAGGTGTTAACGAAGTTGAAAATAATATAGAATACCACAACTTGTTCAATCCAACATCAACAAGAATGTCGCCAGAAGGTACTCCATTGCTGCCTTCTATTCTATCTGCACCAAGGTGACGACTATTTTTATTCCTAGTGATTAGCATATGCTAATTGCCTTGTATCTCAGCGTGTTTGCGTTTCGTTAATTTCAAGAATCAACGTTTCCAACATATATATTATTTGTGGTTGCCATCTCCTTTGCTTCTTTGTCAATCCCATTCCAATTTCCAGCCTTCATGTTTCTTTCCCAATGACTCTGGAGATGTTAGACTTGACCTTGCCAGAGTGTATTGCATAATCATTTCAAAACCAATCAGTTTAGTCATACCAACTACCGCAAAAACATCATTCTGTCTCTTAAATTGCTGAAATTATTACTAACTTAAAATATTAATTATAATTATATGGTACTTTCAACTCAAAAAATGGTATAATAGCACCATAATATCAAACATGTCTTTAAATTCCACCACAGAGTTGACTTAGTTTACATCTTCATCCCAAAACTTAATATATATATATATATATACACACACACTATTGAAATTGTCAAATCAATCAAAAACTTGAATCAAACATGTCAAATTATCAAAAAAAACTTAGAATCTAACTATAATGATTTCTTACAATAAGAGTTTACGGGTTTAAATCTTAATAGATTAATTTTATTAACAACCTCGAGTCTGTGAACTAAAAAAATGTCAAACTTTTTTTTTAAAAAAAATGAAAAACTGAGAAATTTTATAATACAGTGGTGAATGACAATACAGTTGCATCGAGAAAAAGATAGGATCACGTGAAACTTTTAAGAGGAAAGGTCGGGTAATAGAGTGAAGAGAGAATCAAAGCAGATAGTTTGTATATATGGGCCAAGCCTTATTTTTATAATGGGCCACTAATAGGATTTGCTCAACATAAAAGGTGTTACAATGGGCCATTAATTTTTGAGGGGGCGGACAGTTACTATTCCGAAGAAAGCAATATGCGGGTCTTAAAATTTTGGTATTTAAAAAAAAAAAAAAGGATTAATCTATTTTTTACGAATTACATTAATGCTATGTTCTTTTCTTAATAAAAGATCATTGTTGAATTTACATATTAATACTAGGATGTGTTAAATATTACTATTTTACTATTAGGTGCTATTTGGTAATCGGGAATAGAATTGTGAGAATGAGAATGAAAGTTTTATTCCCACATTAGTAACTGTTTGGTTAAAAGGAATGAAGTGGGAATGAGAATAAAAATGTACACACAACTTCATTCCCACATAAAATGTGGGAATAAAAAACAAGGAATGGGAATGAATTTTTTTTTCAAAATAATAATATATTTTATTTATTTATTATCTATTAACTACTTTTGCCATCATCATTACCACCATATATACCACCACCACCATCACAACTACAACCATCACCACCATCACCGCAACCACCATCATAACCACCATCACCACCACTACCACTACTAACATCATTACAACAACCACCACCACCACAACCATCATTATAACAATCACAACCATCATCACTACCGCAATTATTACCGTCACCGCCATCGCCACCACCACCACCACTAGGGGTGAGCAAATGGTTCGGTTAACCGAAAATCGAATCAAACCGAACCGAATTATGTATTTTGGTTCGGTTTTAAACTTAAATTTACAAAATTAAAAACCGAACCGAAAAACCGAAATTATTTCGGTTCGGTTCGGTTTTTGAAAAAAAATTCGGTTTTCACCGAAAACCGAAAAAATTAAAAGCAAAAAATAATAATAATAATAATAATAATTTTTTTTAACCCTAATTGGCTAACTTCACTAAATCAAAATCAATTTTTAGCGGCGCCTCCCTAGCTCCCTATCCTTCGCTCCATCTTCTCCGATTCTCCTTCATCATCACTTCATCGAGCCGGAGGAGGCATTCATGAATTCTAAGATTCTTAATTTGGTCAACTATCAATTGAAAAAATTAAATAAAGTTGATGACTAACCGCAATCAATTGTCTTTTACAAGTTTAGTTGTTTCTTTGCAAGACAATCAAATGAAATTAACTTACTATTGCAAGATGGTTTTAGGTCTCGTGAGCTTGAATTTTACAAACCGAAAGAAAGTCGTTTTAATTTTTTTTCTACCGCACAAAATTGCTAATGAAAATCTTTTAGACTACATTTTTTAGTGGGAATGATGATTGTAAAATTATTAGAGATGTTATACATATTGGTAACCTTTACCTTGCTTTATATATCTTGTTATGATAGTGATTGATGTTGGAAAATTATAATCTTCAACGATGACTAATTCGGTCTAAAATTTTGTTTCTGCGGTTCATTCCCAATGGCTTTTTAGCAAGATAAGCAAGGAGATCATAGAGGTCAAATTAAGAATTAGGATGTTGTCGGTGCTTGATGAGTTCGGAATAAGCAAAAGAAGGAAGACAACTACATTTTTTTTCTTTTCTCATTTAGGACATTCAAGTGTGTCAACTCGTGATTAGGTAGCTGCAAAAGATATTTCCTATGTAAGAGCTTTGTTTTCTTATTGTGATTAGGTACTCGCAAAAGATATTTCCTATGTAAGGGCTTTGTTTTCTTATTGTCTTTTTTTTTTTTTTAATAATAAATGGTGAAAATGATAGTGGCTTAGGACAAATAATGAAACAATGGTCTAGAATTTTTTTTTCAGTAAAACATTTCGGTTAAAACCGAAATATTTTGAAACCGAACCGAAATAATTTGGTTACAAACCGAATTTACCGAATTTATTTTGGTTCGGTTTTGGTTTTTATTTTCCTTGATTCGGTTAACCGAAAACCGAACCGAATCGTACAAAACCGAACCGTTTAACCGTTTGCTCACCCCTAACCACCACCACCACTACTAAAACCACCACAATCACTACCATCACCTTTATTATTTTTATAACTATTATAGTTTAATAAAATTATTTTTTAATCATTATTTATATTTGTATACAAACTCGGATATTAAAAAATTTAAATTGCATTCCGATTCCTTATTAGTTTTCTAAACACGACATTGGAATACAAATACCATTCCGATTCCTTAATTTCCATTCCGATTCCCGCATTCCCATTCCCATCACTTTATTCCCGATTACCACACGACATCTTAAGGATATAGTAGTTAATTAATTTTTTTTCTTAAAGAGTTTGAGTTTTTATATATAGTTATTATGCATATCAATTTTCATCATTCCTTTTTTTTTTTTTTAAATGACATCACAACACAAGGTACAAAATTGAGTTTTTTTTTTTGAAAAAAAGAAGAAAAAAATCAGTTACACATTGTTTCTTTCTATTTTAATGTAATTTGCTTTAGCAAGATAAAAATAGGTTTAATAGCAAATTTTATTCTCATTCTATTGTGACTTGATAATTTTAGAACAATAATACCAAATCGCATAATTTAAACCTCAAAGTATTGAAGCTTGGGTAAATATGATCCAAATTGCCTAATACTCGTCCAATTTTCGTTATGTATAACAATCAATCTAGTTAATCGTTACTTAAAATACTAAAATGACGTTGTTTTGACATTCTGCTATTAATTATATTTAAAAAAAAACATTTTAAGAATATTTTTAACCTCTTAATCTTGAAATTTTTTTTAAAAAAAATTTCTTATAAAAGATTATAAACATTTTTATAAGTTATATAAAAAAATATTATATAAATATTTTTAACCCATCCTAATTTTGAACTTTTTTTAAAATTTTTTTAATAAAATATTATAAAAATTTTATAATTTTTTTATAATTTATAAAATTAGGAGGTCAATCCTTAATTATGCTCATTTTAATTTATAAAATATTTTTTAAGGTCTCGAAATTGTATATTGTTGATTAGGTTTTTTTACAATAATATTTTATAAAAAAATTAAAAAAAAGATTTCAAAATTAGGGGTTAAAAATATTTATAAATTTTTTTATATATATAATTTATAAAATGTTTATAATATTTTATAAGGAAATTTTTTTTTTTAAAAAAAAAAAGCCAAGATTTGGAGGGTTAAAAATATTTTTTAATTTTTGTTTTTAAAAAAAACATAATTAACTCGTAATAGAGATTGAATAATTTGAAGCACATTTGCCTAATCCCCATTTCTCTGCATAATTTGACTCTTTAAAATTCTAATGGCAAAATTTGCCATTAAACCTATAAAATATGACAAAACATTGTTTATCAGAATTCTTCTACCTTAAAGCAACCATACCTAGAATGTTATTCCTTCCTTTCACTATCTCTTGAAACAGCTCATTAACTACAGAATCAAACATTTGTAGACCTTCTTTCAAAGCTAGGGAACTATTCTGCAGCGAATCGATGCTTTTTCCTAACTTCTCTTTATTCAGAGGCACACCCTTCAGAATCTGAACTTTCAATTCCTCAACTGCACTCTCGACCATTTTAGTCTCCACTAGAACTGGTCTTGAATTATCCCTGACACCTTGTCGCTCCTCGAAGAAGCAACACACAAGCTTCCTCAGTGAAGATGAGAGTAGCTTCAGTTGAGGAAAATCTCTATAGACCTCCTCATCCACTTCTATTGAAACTGGATAGAATAATGCAGAAAACAGGAGCAAACATACAATATTCATGGTTCTTCTTACAACATATGCTGGACTATACATATCATCCTTGTTCTTTGTTTTCGGTCTTCCGGTTTTGTATAGATTCACATTCTTCCAGTTCTCAATGCCATAAAGCTTTAGCCATTCTCTCTCTAATTTCTCAATTTCAGTAATATTCATGGCCGAACCCGAATGCCCTTCATCGGAAAATCTTTTAACAGCAACACCAACCATTAAACGGTACCTGTCCATCATAGAAATGGCTGATCTCAACATGTTGCAAAAATCCAGGATGTGCAAAGACTCTTTCATGTACTCATCCAAATAGTTTCCCCCATCCCAAAACACGGGTACCTCAGACGTCTGAAATATGTCAAGAAACTGAAAGTGCATCTCCTTGAGGAGTTTTGTGGCTTCTAAACACCATTGAAGGGATAAGGAGTTTTTGGCTAGTGAAGACTTGAGGTTGTTGATACTAACAAGAATAGAGGAAAAGGTATTCATTGCTTTATCAGTGTGGGTAAAAGACGGCTTTTCTTTCGTAAAAAATTGAGAAGAACATGTACGAAACAGTACCCTTCTCATGATGCAAGACAAAAGTTTGTGTAACAAAAACGTTTTAAGGTGGTCTTTATACAAGTTTTGATCAATTCTGGAGGAAGAAATCAGAGACAAAAGAATCAAAACAATAAATGGAGAGAAGAATATAATTAACAGTTCAAAACTGTATTTTTCAATATTAGGAAGCTGACTTAATACAAAGGCTAAGTAGGAATTAAAATAGAATAAGTTTCTTTATTAAAAGCTACTTTATTCACTAATCAAATAACAATAGAGACCTTTTACTCTTGGAAAAATAGAAAAAACAAAAAAGAAGAATTTTACCCATAAACAACGCATATATTAGCTATATATCTATAACTATCATAAATAGATCTTGAATAATCATGATTCTCTAACTTTTTTTACTCAATTCTCCATCACTGCATCATCACCTTAAGTTGGAAAGTAGAATATGATTGAGCATGGAGCCCTTTTGGTGGGATTTTTTTAGATTTGCAATATAGACGATAAGCATAGAGCAAGCTGTCTCCCTCAAGCGGAAAGAATATGCCTAGCTTAAGTTCTTCACGAGAAAGCAATCTCTATAGGTTTCATTTTCACATTTTACATGCAAAAGGTCTCAAACCTTTGATATATGCATGTTATAAAGTGATATCTTTTTTACTTGTTTTAATACAAGCTTTCATGCACCAACAGTCACAAAAAGGAAAAATAATTATCCATGATTATATATAAAAGCACAGTATTACATCTTTAATACAATACTAAAATCTAGCTAGGTACGTGCTAAGCACATGCTTTATTTAACTATTTTATAGTATTTTATAATCTCTAATAGATTAATTTAGTTTGGTCTTAAAATATAAATAATTTTATATAAAGCTTGATAATCTATAATTAATTTAGTTTGTTTGATTTTTTGAAATATATAAAGAAATTTTGATTGCATTAAATAAAAGCTATAGACATAAAATAGTTAGCAATTGGGACACACACACACACACATATATATATGAGCATGTTCCATGTTTGTGTGTGACTAATTATAATTTTATCACTTAAAAATAATTACCATTAAAATTTGTAACTGTATATTTAATTACCTCCATAGTTGAAAATTGGAAATTTATTTTTCATATCATATGTTGTTATAAGAAAAATCCACGTCTTTCTTGCAAAAAAAAAAAAAAAAGAGTTTCATTATTTATTCATTTTAAGATTTTTAAGTTAGTTTAAATCATACGATGAAACCATCAACTATCAAAATATAAATATAATATATTAGGATTTCTTATATATAATAAATATAATTACTTATTAAAATATAAATATGATAACACATAATCTCACATTGTTTTTAAAGTAAGATTTTGATCATATATATTTATAAACATCTATAGTTAATTACTCTAGTATTTCTAAAATATTTTACCAAAATGAGTCAATAAAATTTTGTTGAGGATCCTACTAAGTTTTTAATATGATAATATGGCATCAGAATGAATCTTTTTATTTGAAGGATTTATTTTAATCATGTGATTTGAATAGATTTAATAGTACAAATATGACTAAAAAAATTTTGAACTTTTATTTCAATAATTTTTTTTTTTTTTTTGGAATTAGCAAAATTTGTTTAAATAAACAATACAAAAATTGTGGATCATTTTGTTCAAAGAAGTAAACAGTAATAACCAACAATAAAAAAAATCGTATAAAAAAATAAAGCAATAGTATACTATTAGCACTATATTTTGCTAATTAAAACGCTATGATTTCAAATAAGCCAAAAAAAAAATTAATAAAATCAGAAAATAATAAAACTACATCAAAGTTCATCAAATTATTAAATAGATTCTTTTCTTATATATAAAAATATTTTTTTATTGTCTTGTATCACTTCTTGCTGTTTGGGAGAAAATTATCCACAAAATTTGTATTATTCCTGTGGAATTATGTACATATATATATAAAACGATATGAAAAAAAAAAAAGGTTCATAAAATTTTTATTTGTGCCTAGACTATTAATAAGTTATATTCATATCACATATAATTAAAGGTGTTCCAAAAAAAAAAAAAAAAAAAAAAAAAAAAAACCTAATATTATCATACTAAATGTTAGTATAATTTTGTGGATAATTTTCATAAATAATATTAACGATAACTATCTCATAAATAATATTATTTAGGATCCTAATAAAACTTTTGTTCGCATAATGCACTTTACATATTTGTATATTATAAATAGAACATTATAATAAACAATGAAATCCTTTCTTTTTATTCTTTTTATTTTTGCAAGAGTGGAATTTTCTTATAACATGTGGTGTAAAATATATTTTCAATTTCTAACTTTTTGGTAAATAGATTGGTGCAAATTTTTTAATAATTATTATTTTCAAGATATCTAATTATGAACAATCGCACGCACGCAAAATTATTGCCAAAAATATTACTTATAGATAATTCAAATAAACTATTAAAAGATTATAAAAAATATATATATTATTAATTAGTTGAATAATACACGTGCATTAGCCAAAAACCTAGTACTATCTAAGAAAATAATTACCGAGTTATTTTCAATTTAGCGTAAATTTGCCAACATGTTATTAGATTAGAAGAGATGAGAAACATAATGTTTTCATTGACATATTCATCAGAAGATAAATGGTCACTTGGACATAATGGGGCTCACTTAACACCACATTGCGTAGCAGCAGCACGAACAAGCATTCCAAACCAACCTGACCTAATTGAAAGTTCTTTTATATCAAGTGAACCAATATATATATATATATATATATATATATATATATATATTTTTTTTTTTTTCTTTCTGGAAAAAAAAAAAACATTTTCATAGCAATCATCAGAAAACTTAAGAAAGCTGAAGAGAGTAAGACATGCAGACAGGCAGCAAATTTACCAATTTGTACTCCTAAAATGCGATTGCTACCAATCAACGACCCCATGCACGAGATGACATGAGCATATTACTCCATGAAATCGTATCATTTACATATGCTGTGAGTGCCATTGAATTTATTGCTTATTAATGATAGGTTTCCACATATGTCCCTCAAGCATAACATGCCACAAAAGCAAATAGAAAGATTACCATTGCTATCCTGCATGAAGAACAATATGGGAGAAGAGCAAGTCTAACTTACCATCAAGCTCAACAGTGCTGAACTAAATTCTTTTGAAAAGGTTAGCAAAGACATCCAGTACTATGTATTCAAATACAAACGACAAAGTGATAAGACTCAGATTCAAGTTATTAGTAATCAAAACACGGGGGAATGAAAAGGCAACAAAAAACTCACCAGATTTTTATGACAAGGCAAATCTATGAACTTTTGCAATTCCATAATACGTACTGGCCATTAAATTGCAATTCCAATGCATTACAGAAAAAAATTACTCATTTAAAAAGACAGGGGCCAACAAAATACCATATGAGATAGATCTCTATTTGATCATGCTTCCAAACAGGTGTTTTTAACAAATAAATGGGAAGTGAATCAAGAAATGTGATTAAGACACCGCATCAAGATATCTGTTTGTTCAGGCTTCCCAACAGATACTCGTATGAAACCCTTTAGTTCTTTCTTATTGTAGTGACGGACCATAACTCCCATACTAGCAAGATCATCCTGCAATACAGTTAAATGTGTCAGCATAAAATTTTCACATGCAGATGCAAGAAAAATTGTGAGAGACACAGAGAGGAGGGCCTTTGAGCATAGTGATTAACAAAAGCAACAATTGACCATGACAGTACTAGCAACATTATTCAAATTTCAAAAAACTCAAACATTGAGACCTTGAGGCTTAAATTTTCATGTTAAAAGAGCAAAATCTGACATGAAGCTTAAATTTTCCTTCTAATGGGTAAGTCCTCTTAAGTAGATGGCCACAAGTAGGAAATTGCGTCAAGTGAGGGTCTTTTATGTGATTACAGTGAAGACATGTTTGCCTAAGGCAGAAGCTAAGGAGAGGCATGGAGGGAAGAGTTAGCAATCCTAACAAGCGAGGATGTGGGAGTTAGGAAAAAATTGGGGGAGAAAGAGAGAAACTGGAGAAGGAAGCATGGTAGACGCACATCTCTTTCATATCATATTACTCTCAAATGAGAGGAAGTCCCATGGACTTCAACCTGCACTCACAGCTCTTTCAAGACATATATTTACGCTAGTCTAAGAGACTCAAAAAAGGATAACCATATCATTAATGCTTTGCATACATGTACATAGAATAACTAAACTCACTCTTTGAAAACTCACTTCAACATTATTTTAGATTTCAAAATTAATTCCAACAGCAAGTAGCAAGAGGGTGAGGTATAGGTTGAAAACCTCAGATTAGGATGAGTATCAATTGTATTGTAAGTAGAAGAGAAGAGCTGTGAGTTGGAGGGTAAATGTAAATGATTGATTTTTTACCAATCATTCTCTTTGATATTTTGCATGGACTTGACAGACATCAATTGGGACAGCAGTGGGCATGAACTTGAAGGCATACAACGTAGCTACAAGATTGGGCTACATAAGTGTTCGGTATGGATAGGTGGCAGGATCCATGTTCAAGCCTTAGGCCTTTAAGATGTCTAAGAAGATTTGGCTTGGTGGACTTGGAGTAGAATATGTTACAGGAAGCCCAATTTCCTTTAACCTTTTCTAGTAAGCTTAAGAAAGTAGCCATGAACCTTTTTGGACACGACACCCATCCCTCCCATCAGCACATCAAACACTAAGCTTAACCCCAAGGGGTAAGTTTCATGACTCAAGCCAATAAATACCTCCTCCGGTTCATTTTTAGGGATGCTCAACACATTCACTACACCCACCCTCTTTCTCTAGCCCCACTCTTCCTTTTTGGGCTGATTATTCCCAATTGTGATTTGTGTCCTCTGCCATCATTCCAAAAGCATCATCCATTTGGCGCCTTTCTCGTATCATTCCCCTAGAGACAATCTCAAAATGACCTCACATTACCTGTTTCAATTTTTCACCAGGTACTTACACGCCTGCTAGCTCCTCCTCCCATGCCTCTTCTTAATTCACCCCTCATTAGAATAAGCAAAGCTAACAAACAAAATTTTCTCACCCAATTATATGGAGGACCCATATCCTCAAATCACGCAAAGGAATTCCTCACTTGATGCAATTTCCTACATGAGGCAATCTCTTAAACGAATTCCCTACTTAAAGGAAAACCCTCTGCAAAAATATAAATATAGTTCCAGAAATATTTTTAAAAGTCTAAGAGATGAACTGCTATAATTGACACAAGAAAGATGTAAATTGCATAAAAGGACACTCCCTGCAGTGCGACTCTCCTTGAATTATTTGGTCATGCAATATTTTTCTAATACAAAGAACCAAATTCATTTCAACCCATCATAGTTCTGAATCATTTTGTGTCACCAGGCATGGCTGAACCATTTATGATGCGTGGAGCGAATGAATAAGAAAGATGCTTAGATAAGAGAATACGTTCTCGCATTGCCTTTTTTGTAGAAAGTTTGACCAGCAAGAAAACGTGTTCGGCCAAAGCCAAAAATAGGTTGACTCACTTCATTCGCAATGCGAATGAAACATGATCTCGTATGTCAATACTTGGTCCATTCATTCAGGTAAGACGCCAGCAAAATAAAAAAATTAATTTATGCATGTTTACTGTCGGCACAACTTAATTGTATAAGCTGCATGTGTCCTTATTAGCAACCTAATTTGGAAGCTCATCACTACCCTTGACATTGCTGATTAATTCAAATCAGACAAACTTTGTCGAAAAAATTTAAGAAAAAAATGCACCAAAAAAATCAAAGCCAAACAATTTTACAATGAATATAAATTGCAAATATGCAAAGCAAACAACTACTACGTTAACAAGACAAAAGAAGAAGAAAAAAATCATACCTTAAGCTTCTTAGCATCCATTCCAGATGTAACCTCACAAAGAATGAAATTAGAATGGCTTGGAAATGGTGTGAGGAACGGCACTTCCTGCAGAAATTTAAAAAGTCTTTCCCTCTCTTCTAACAAAGCATTTTTTACGTTCTGTAGAAATTGGCACTAGTGTTACATATTGCACTCGAAGACAAATTTGCAGACTTAACCTTTATCAGAACTTATTTAAAGCATTCTATTAAATAAGCATCACATAAAGCAAAAAATTGTAAGGAAAATCCAACCTCAAGGTATGTAGGATTCTGCAACGCTGCGCATGCAGCTACTTCAGCAGCAACAGAAACATTATAAGGTTGCTTAGCTCTCCAAAGATACTCAATGATGCTCAAGGGAAATGCTCCATAACCAACACGGAGTCCTGCTAAACCTGAAATGGCATTCATTACAAGGTGAGCTTCTAATGTTTTTAAACCAACCCAAAAGAAAATAGAGAAAAAGTGACAGAATAAGAAATGACAGACACCTCATTGCCAAGGGAAAAGAAACTACTTGGATAAAACAAACTCCCATTTCTGACAAAAAGCATGATAACGTGGGAAAACACAAAGGCTAAAGCTAAGTGTGATGTTCATAAGTATTAATCTTTACGCCAATGAGTCATAGCTCAATTGGCATGTTTCAAACCCATCTCCCTTAGACCACTGCCTGTCCCACCCTATCTGCTTTCGGCATTTCTTATTCACAGTAAGTAAACCCAAAATACACACACACAAAGACATTATTTAGCTGAAGGTAATTTCTGCAAGGCAGCATGTGCAATGTCTGAAATGAACAAATACAATGCATGGGATCCCATGTAACATGGCAAATAACCTTGCTGATGATGAATGAATGATTGTTCAACCGTGAAAGTCAAGTTACAATGTCTGAAATGGACTAAAGTAAAGTTGATCCTGTTCATGGGAAAGCAACAGTATAAACAAGGTTGAATGTCATTACCATCAGTTAAGAAAAAAGAAAAAGGACAAAAAAGCTGTGGCATGCTACAACTTGTATGATTATTGTTTGTGAATCAAAAAAGTAAATCATCATAAAGTTTTTTCATTTTATGATGGATTCAATAATCAATAGCATCACAAAAGTGTTTTTCCGACAAAACTGAAAGTTTCTACACCTAATTGACTTTCCCATGAACGTACCAGCTCTTTTGCTAAATGTCCGCAGAACAATTAAATTATCATGCTTCTTCACCCACTTCATTCTGGATTCCTGTCCTGAAAATTCAATGTATGCTTCATCCAGCACCACCAAAATCGGAAGCTCAAGGATTTTCAGAAGATCTTCGTCATTGATTATACTGCCATGCAATAATTAATTGCATACAGATAAATAACAACAGAATACAGAAGTTCAAAACACAAAGGTGTGCAGTTTCACAATTCTCGGTTTGAAAACTTCACAGATACCCTGCACAGCCTAACCAAATTAAAGTAACAAACTGAAAGACTGCAAGAACAAATGAATATTGGACATGTCCACAAACAAGGTAAAACACACACATCACAATCCAATAGAGAAATCGTGTCATTTAGACTTTTTCTTCAATCATAAAAGCCATGCCAGGCCACAACAGCATCCTTGTTAAATAACTGGCATCAGGCTAAATATCTTTTTATGTATTTACTTCTTTTAGACAGAAATTTTTTTTTTCAACCTCTGAAATTTCAACAAATCATGTTAATTCTCCGGTCTGCACAGGCACTAGGAAATTCTTCAATAGCAAAAACATAAAAGTTGATACGTTTATTACAACCCTACTTTTGAAAAGCTAAAATTCATCAACACTAAATTTCATATCATATGGACCGTTGAGGAGGTGATCACTTGATTAAAAAAAAAAAATGCAAGCATGTACAGGCCAGTTTCTGGATACAAACTAGGAAAATCAGAGATCTCAAATTTTACATGTTAAATTGCCAGATAATGATGCATGGTAGAAAGAAACCATTAGAATTTACCTCCCATCTGGATTGTTTGGTGATGTTAAGAATATGCATTTGGGTTTCTCCTGCCTAATAGCATCAACAATGAGTTCTACATTCAAGCTAAAGTCTGGTTTCCTCAAAACTGAAACACATAAATGCCAAATTCTTAGGGACTTAGTATCAATGATAAACCTAGGGAGTGAATTTCAAAAAGATGAGATATAAAGTAGTGGAGTTCAAAGAAAAGAGTGGCCAAAGAAATAGTAAGGAATAGATAAGCCTTCTTTACCCTTAGTTACAAGTGCACCATTAACTGCAGCATCAAATTCATACATTGTAAAGGTTGGAGGACAGTCTACAATCTTGTCACCAGGATCCAGTGTGCATCTGCCAAATGATGAATTGACAATGAAAAAAAGAAAAAAAAATTCAGAACTACTGATTGTTAAAGTTGGGGAGATAGTGTACTCTACGGCATAGGGCTTTCAAATTTACCGCATAATTAGATCAATAAGCTCATCAGCACCACATCCCACTAGAATGTGATCAGATTCAAGGCCAGAATCTAGGGCAAGCGCCTCACGTAATCTACGGCTTTGAGGATCAGGGTATATATATGGGAATTTCAAAGATCCCAGAGCTTCAAGTACCTACAAACAATCTGAAATTGTACTCAGGTAAAAAAGGAAATCATGCCTGCTGTTGTAACAGACTGATCTTTGACATTTATCTAATCTAAACAAACTAAAAGCTCCACAGAATCTTCAAAACTACCTAAGATTTCATATTTTACAGGACAAAAGTAATATATAATGGTTTAACAACTTGCCTCTGGAGGTGGACCATAAGGATTTTCATTTGCATCTAATTTAACAATGTCCTCAGGTTTCCTTCCTAGTTGAGCTGACAAAATCTGTAGTAAGGGAGAAAATCAGTTAGAGCGGAAATCAAACCATGAATTTATATAAATGTAAATCTAAGTGTGTCATAAAAGAACTCGCTTTTCTAGCCATCATACACAAGTAACTCACAACTCATTTCACTTATGTGTTTTGCAAAAGCTTTACCCTTTAAAACGGTTTAACATTTCACAAGAAATAATTAAAGTTATTGCACATACAACCATCTAGTCAGAAGAAACAGAGAATTGGGGCTGACAAGGAATAAGCTTAACTGATTATGCTACCAGAGATTAGAACTGTCACATAACAAAATCTTTTACCAGAGCACAAAGAAACTTCATTGTCAGAGGAGCCAATTAAAAACAACGCACACGATGGACAGTAGAAACGAACAGAAATAATGAATCTTAGATGAATAAAATATCTGATTAGATATGTGGAAGAGAATCTATGTTCTGTGGTTTCCATATAACTCGTAATTGTTGTTATAATTAAAATTGAGAAAAAAATTATTAATAGTATTCTTTGATGAGTAAATTAGCTTTCAATCCAGTTCAACAATACAAAAAATGATTAAGGAATCAATATTACTTACAATCATGTATCTGCTACTTATCTCATTGAAGAGAGTTCTATCACTTTACAACCTTGATTACACACTCAAGCAGTATAATTTTCAATTAAAATAAAACACCTAAATTAACATAGCCTCAGTCAACTGAAGATTTATATGCATAACAAAAGTTTTCACTGCAGTTGTTGAGAACCAATTAAATCAATCAAAACAAAATTTTCAAAAGATTAGTTCAAATTACCTCAAAAGGCAAAATGGGTTGATAAGGGGACAATTTCCTCAAATGGGAACGAATAAACGAGTCACCAGTCACACTCTGTTGACCCTCATTGACATGCTCTACAGGCACAGTAGAAGTCATGGCAATAACTATTCTCTGATTGCCCTTTCTGTGAAATGAGTAAGTGGGCCTTTGAGGCACCAAAGCTTGGTGGAGATTATTATTGGAGTTGATCAAGCAAAGAGAAGAGGCAGTGTTGTAGATATCAATCATACCCATGAATGCCTGCACGTTTTAAAAAAAAAAGAGCCCAAATTAAAATCTAAAAGAAAATCACTGAGTCAAAAAATAACAAATATATACATTCAGAGAGGTAATGGTAACGGTGGCCTTACCTGGAATGGAGAAGAGAAGGGTAAAGTTTGAAACTTTGTGGGTGTGGCAACTGGGGAAGAAGGGAAAAACCTAAGACTTAAATAAACCCTAGAGAGACAGAGAGAGCTCAGAGTACAAGACGCAATGTGATACCTTTTGTTTTGTCCAAGATGTCAGCGAAGACTGCAATTGGGGTTTTTAATCGAGAGTTTTGTCTGTCGAACAAGTTCCCTTTGAATCTTCCACTTTCCACTCTTTTTTTTTCCCTTAAGCACAGAGTTAACTAATTCTATAGTTGTATAAAATAATAAATGTCTATCTACTTTTCATATTTCTATTACTCATGAGCTTTAATGTGATTCAATTCATCATTCAATATAAGAAATTGAAAAGGTGATGCAATTAATGTACTTTTAATTATTCATAGTCCCTTCTAATTCTCATCTCAATTTTGAGGCCTATAAATAGGTTTGATTGTTCATTTGTTAATGTATAAGTTTTTAGAGAGATCAAGAGAATAACTTGAAGTTTTTCTCATTTGTATTCACTTTATAGTGAACTCTTCTTCTTGTCATCCTTCCTTTAAATTCTTATATTACTTTTATTTTTCATAACACGTTATCAGCACTATTGTTCTACCAAACAACGCAAATCATCTAGCCTATTAAGAGTTATATACCTAATCTATTTTTTATTTTAAATCTAATAGTACATATAATATATATTTAAAAACTTGAATAATCTAATATATATTCTAATAATCTAATGCATGTCGTTTTGAGAAGTTTAAATATTATTTTTATTTTTATTTTTATTTTCTAACATCATTATTATATCTTGTATTATAGAATTTTTATCATGTCAAACCTCACAAAGATTGATTTTGTGGCCCTTGACATTTCGAGCAAGAATTATTTATCATAGGTGCTTGATGCTCGAGATACATTTAAATGTTAATGGCCTTAGACAAACAATCATTGATGATAATCAAGAACCCTTGCAAAACCGTCCCAAGGCAATGATCTTCCTTCATTATCATCTCCATGATGATTTGAAAATTGAATATTTAACAATGAAAGATCCACTTGAACTGTGAAAAAATTTAGAGAAAAGATACAACCACCAAAAGACGATAATTCTTTCAAAAACTCGTTATGATTTGATGCACTTAAGGTTATAAGATTTCAAAACCGTAAGTGAGTATAATTCTATAGTATTTAGAATCGGTTCCCAACTAAAATTATATGAAGAAAATATTACCGATTCCGATATGTTAGAGAAAACATTCTCTACTTTTCATGCCTCGAATATGCTCCTGCAACGACGAATATCGAGAAAAAGGTTTTAAGAAATACTCGAATTGATTTCATGCCTACTTATGGTCGAACAAAATAACGAGCTACCGATGAAAAATCATGAATCTCGCCCAACTAGATCTACTCCATTCCCTAAAGTGAATGTGACATCTTATAATAATTTTGGACGTGGACATGATCGTGGCCGTAGCCATAGACATGATAGTGGCAATAGTCGTGGTTGGAATAATTATCCATAATCGTGATGGTAATAATAATACACCTCATCCCCATAAGTGGATAAATTATGAAAAGAAACAAAAAAAGAATAAAGATGGATCAAGTCGACACTCCGAAAATGAATGTTATAGATGTGGTATGAAGGGACATTGGTTGTGTACTCGTCGTACGTCAAAACACCTAGTTGAGCTTTATCAAGCCTCATCGAAAAAGAAAGAAAGTGATATAGAAGCAAATTTTATATATCAAAATAATGTTTGTGACAATGTTCCTCTCGAAGATTTACGTAACTTAACACATTTAGATGTTGCTGATTTCTTTGAAGATTTTGAAAGAAAAATTATTAGGTTAATGATAATTGTTTGAAATTTTGTTACCTTTTTTATAAATAAAGAAGTTTTATGTTTTATTTTTATTTCATCATATCAATTATCATTTTTATTTATTTGTTTGTTTTTGTGTTTATGAAGAATATATTGATATTACCAAGTTTGCAATTGGTTTAAACGCCATGGAGGAGAATCTATGTCTCGTGGATAGTACAACCACACATACTATACTTAAAAATAAAAGGTATTTCTTCAATTTAATGATGAGCAAGGCTAATATTAACATTATATCCGGTAATGTTAATTTAATTAATGGCTTCGGAAGAGCAAATATATTACTACCTAGAGGGATAAATTTGATTATAGATGATGCATTATTCTCTCCTAAGTCTCACGTAAATTTATTGAGTTGTAAAGATATTCGTTTAAATGGATATCATATTGAGACAACAAATGTTGAGAATATAAAGTACTTATATATTATAAAAATTAAATCGAGTAGAAACTATGTATTGGAGAAATTACTCGCTTTCTCTTCGGCATTTATTATACAAGTATTCAAATGATTGAAACAAATGCCATAGTAAACCGAAGTTTACTAATCCTTTTATTTTGTGGCATGACAGATTGGGTCATCCTGGATTCATTATGACGCAAAAAATTATTGAAAATTCATATGTACATCCATTAAGAACCGGGAGATTCTTCAATCTAATGAGTTTTCATGTTCTACATGTTCTTAAGGCAAACTTATTATTAAGCCTTCACCAAATAAAATTGGGATTGACTCTCCAAGTATTTTTAGAACGTATTCAAGGTGATATATGTGGATCAATTCATCCACCATGTGGATCGTTTAGATATTTTATGATTTTAATAGATGCATCTACAAGATGGTCACATGTATGGTTATTATCAACTCAAAACCCGGCATTTTCGAGGTTACTTGCTCAAATAATTCGATTACGAGCATAATTTTCAGATTATACTATTAGAATAATTCACCTTGATAATGCCGATGAATTTACATCTTAAGCTTTTAATGATTATTACATGTCTATTGGAATAAGAGTTGAACAACCTATTGCTCATGTTCATACTCAAAATGGTCTAGCAGAATAATTTATAAAAACCTCCAATTGATAGCTAGACCATTACTTATGAAAATAAAACTTTCGTTTATGTTTGAAGACATGCAATTTTATATGCAACAACACATATTCGCATCGGGCCTATAAATTATCGAAATTATCTCATGTTCAATTGGTTTCTAGTCATGAGCCTAATATTTCTCGTTTGAGGATTTTTAGATTGCGAGTATATGTCTCAATTACTCCTCCACAATGAACTAAAAAGGGTCCTTAGAGGAGATTGGAAATATATGTTGGATATGAATCTCTTTCTATAATTAAATATCTTAAACCATTAACATCGGATTTTTTACAACTCGTTTTGCCGATCGTCATTTTGATAAAATAATTTTTCTAACATTAGGGGAAGAAAATAAACATAATAAACGGTTAAAAATGTTGAAAAAAGAAATTACATGAAATACTTTATCTTTATATCATCTTGATCCCCGTACAAAACAATGTGAACTTGAAGTTCGGAGGATAATTCATTTGCAAAGTCTTACAAACTAACCGTCCGATACATTCTCCGATCCAAAGAGAGTAACTAAATCACATATTCCCGTTGAGAATACTCCTATTAAAATTGATGTCCCAGTAGGATAACTTATTAATGTTATAACAAATGAATCTAAAGCACATCTAAAGCGTAGAAGAACGATTGATTATAAAGATAAAAATCTAAAAAAAAAAATAATCAAGATGAAAATATAAAGGAGGCGAGATAAAATGGTCCAAGATGTTTTTGATAACAAGCTTCTAGAAGAAGCCCAAATGCTTGAGAAAAATCAAAAAAATTCGATAAATTATGTTAACACGGGGAGAAAATAGGACCGAAAAGAAATATTCATTGATAATATATTTGCATATAATGTGACAATTGATATTTTGAATAAGGATCTTGAGCCTAAATCCATTGAAGAATGTCGACATAGAGATGATTGGCCTAAGTGGAAAGATGCAATTCAGGAAGAATTAAAGTCTCTCACAAAACGAGCAGCTTTTGGACCCATAATTAAAACACCCGAAGATGTTAAGCCGGTAGGATACAAACGGATATTTATGCGAAAATAAAATAAAAAAGATGAAATTGTGAGATATAAAGCAAGACTTGTGACACAAGGGTTTTCACAAAGACTCGACATTGACTATGAAGAGACATATTCTCCTGTAATGGATGCAATTATATTTCATTATCTTATTAGCTTGATAGCATGTGAAAAACTTCATATGCATTTAATGGATGTAATCATAACTTATTTATATGGGTCACTTGATAATGATATCTATATGAAAGCTTCGAAGGACTTAAAATACTCGAAGCATGTAAAATACATTCTCGAGATATGCATTCAATTAAATTATAAAGATTTCTATATGGATTGAAATGATCTAGACGTATGTGGTATAATCGTCTTAGTGATTATTTATTAAAAGAAGGTTATAAAAATAACTCAATTTGTCCATGTGTCTTTATAAAGAAATTCGAAAAGGGGTTTATGATAATTACTTGTATATTTTGATGATTTAAATATAATTGGAACTTCGAAGAGATTTTAAGTGCCATAAATTATTTAAAAGGAGAATTTGATATGAAAGATCTTGGAAAAATAAAATTTTATCTCGATCTGCAGTTCGAACACTTAAAGGATGAAATTTTTATTCGTCGATCAACATATATAGAAAAAGTACTATAAAGATTCCACGTGGATAAGGCTCATCCATTGACTAGCCCAATGGTAGCTCGTTCACTTGATGTTCAAAAGGATCCTTTTCAACCTCGAGAAGATAACAAAGAACTTCTTGGTCATGAAGTATCATACCTTAGTGCAATTGGTGCATTAATGTATCTTGCTAATAATACTCGACTCGATATAGCATTTTCCGTAAATTTATTAGCAAGA